CAACTAAAAGCGACAATAGATCCATGTAAAGTTCGTCAATGTTCAAAAGAAATGAGGTTCGCGCTCACTGACACCTGTTCATCAGTTCCGTGCACGAATTCAAAGGTCCCACACCAACTAAGACCTCACTTCCACCATTAGCTTCTCCACCCCACATTAAAATGACTTACAGAGTGCATTCAAAGGAAAGCCAGTGACGAATACAATGGAGAATATAGGAAAACTCCGATGGAACATTACTGGTAAGGCCAAATTTAGTTCAAAACGATAAGACCATGAGTTTGAATCCAGAAGGTGTGATTTGCTTCGAAACTGTCTAATGTGACACTAGAGCATTTGAATCTTCTTTACCACGTGCATTCAACAGATAAATCCAGTCCAAAGTAGAGGCAACCACCTTCAGCTAGGGACCCATTTCTGCCCCATAAAGGGTTTTTTCTGAATACTATTTTCACTGTCAACGTAAAAGAATGCCTACCAAACGTTCAAGACAAAATGAGTGACATTTACCATGTGGTAGAGGTCGATTTTATGCATTCGTGTCGCAGTAGATCATGCTTTTGACTAAGTTATGAACGACATTGTAAGCAAAACAACTTCTAGCCGTGACAGCCACACCACAGACATCCAAAAGGCAAAAGGTAGGACTAGTGTCACCAAGCAATGGCGAAGATGGACCGAAGTAATTTAAGCTTTTTCATCCAATCCCAAAATTAAACCTACTAAAAAAGCCTACTGATTAGCAAATGGTAACAACACACCGAGGCGCCACACAAATCCACCTGCGCTGAAGGCGGTGTTGCGTTCCCCTCGTAGCCTAAAAGAACAAAGTGTGATAACACGGTTGAAACACGCAAAACCTGTTATTATGCAAAATGATAACACCGGTAGAGACCTGAGAATCACTAGGCCAATTGAAGTGCCCAAGTACGGTCAAAAGCGTCAGGAAATTAAAGAGATGAGAAATGTATGACAACAATTTCTGAAGGTTTTACACTTAATCAAAATCATAGCATAGTAGAAGGGATGGAATGCAAAGCACCAACCCATAACACTGCAGGAAAATAATAATATCTCCAATGAATTAAAGACTTAAAAATAGGAAAAATTTGAGAAAAAAAGAATTCGAACGTAACTGCTCAATAATAGCTACCCCAACAAAATATGGTCCAAAACGAGACCCCAAACCAGTGAGCTGCACAATTATCGTTCTAAACTACTCACATCGTTATTTCACTCTTCATGAGCCGCAGCAGAGAATCTGAGATTATTTTTGCAGTGTTCCTCCATCAATAAAACACGAAAAGGATTCGAAGATGATGTCTGTAGTCATTTTTCTACTTACTGCAAGAAAAAACGGATTCCCCATGTCTCTTGATCACAATTCATTAGATCAAAACAATGCTTTGGAAGACCCTGACAGTCAGGCATCGCTATTGGTAAACACAGAGGCTCACCAATAGCAGTCCAACCCAGCCACCATCCACTTACTGATCGCACCAAAATGTTCACAACCATGCCATTCCACTTTTAAAGCATTGAATAATTATTTCGCTTTGCTAGCCTTGTCACTAAGGTAGTACATAAAAGGGCAACTGACTGCATTTTTCGTCGACGCCATAGGCACCATCGAGGGAACACGAGCTGGCGAATTTGGTGGACGTGGAAGACAACGTTCGTTTAAAAGGTATACAAACAACATATCCACTGTTAGTTCCTATCCAAAGATGATTGGGTGAGACCCCGAGAGTCGAAACCGTCGCTGGATTCGACGATGCTTCAGAATCTGGAGGGCCTACAATTGACAGTGTTATGAATATCAGAAATTAAGAAATAACTGAAAATAGCCACTTCTGAATTGAGTGTTAACCAAATTCAAGGCAATCAGAAGGCGCGAACATTGCGTCAGAAATGGGAATGGTGTTCAGCTCTGAAAGAAGCATTAAGTTAGTGATTCTTGATTCTTCAGCGTAGCCACAGCAACTTTGGAATGCGACACTCATGTTACAGACGTCGAAAAGAGAACATGTAGCACAAGTTTCACCAAACAAATGCAAAGACGTGACGCAACAAATTGGGCCAACAAATACTGGATGGAGTCTACTGATAAATAAAAAGTAGTAATCGCGGTAAAATGAAGCCAGTCTGGGTTCCAAACAAACGGCATTTCAGGACAGTTTCCCTTTGATGGCAAAGAACGCTGAAATCTAGTTATAATAATGAACGCGTCATACGTATTGTAAACATATACCCTCATCCGAGACGATGAACAAACTAGGCACGCTGGAAGGCAGAAACAGAGCATCTAAAAATTGGCACCGTACTAATAATAACAAGAGATAGGCGCGCTGTGGTGATCAAGTTTTGCTCAACAATGCTGGCTACGAACCAGATAGAAAAAGGTTACAAGTCAGGGCGAAAATGGATAAGCAATGTCCCGATGACAAAAGAGTTTTCACACCCAAAGACAAGAGAGGATGTGAATGTTGGCAAGATAGAAAAATCCACCATCTTAAACATTTTGACATGGGTTCTAAACATCGCATTCTACTACAGCGAACTAATTTAAGAGGGCAAAAATGTTCAAGTCCGCTTCTCACCAACAGTCTCGTAGATGACGTAGGTCAGATCTACCTCCTGCATCGGTTCGTATGTGAAGGCATTGAAGAGACGAAGGATGAAGTCCTTGCGCACTGTTGCCCAAACACCATCACGGGCCCAGCAAAGGTTACGAACGATGGCATTTGAGGATGAGACCACCTCAATTCTGCAACACAAGTAAAAGATGCAGCAGGAAAGCTGACCATAAGAACAGATCTTAGCCAGTCAAATTTCCTGTTTGGTCAGCCCACCGTTAAGAGGAGGCTACTTTCCACTTTTGGCAGTCGAGTTGGATAGGAATCCAACTGTTCTGGTAACGCATTTTCAGAAGTACAGAAGCTTGACAATAAACAACTCTGGCGCTTTAAGAAAAGAAAAACATTCTCTAGAAGTGACAGACGCGTGCCTCACTGAGTCACAAAGCACCTCACTTTGACCGTCGTTTGAGCCTCACACTTCGTATACACGTGATGCACATCGCCTCAGCAACAGCACTGACAGCGAAATTGAAAATAAGGATGGAAAAATAAAACGACGATAAATGAGAAGGGATTTTGTATTTACTGTTAGGAGTAACACATAGAGGCGGAAGTAAGTAAGGTGCATAGAGGTAGGCGTGACCTGCAAGCTCAAAAGGACCACAAAAACACCGAGTCATTTGGGACGAAAAGCATAAATTCATATGAAAGCAATAGGTATCCCAAATAAGAGCAGCCAATGCCGCACAGGGATCTAAGGATGGTACACCAAGAAGAGCCCGATGCTTCGATAAAGATATTCTCTAACGAACTGCTAATCTGTGCAGAAAGGGAACCACCGTCAGTGAGTGAGAAAGGTAAATTGAATGAGCGTGGATGATATAGACAATTGAAGGGAGAATTTCGAACAACATCACATCCCCCCTTATAAGTATCGCTCTGAATGCGTGCACAGGTGGCCTCGGTGAATGTGAAAACCCGCTCATCGGCGGAAGGGAGTGGAGGGAGAACACCACCAACTGACAGTAAAATGGCACTAGCAACCGACCGGAATTAAATCAGCAAAGAGTAATAGCGACTCAAAATGAGGGGCGGGTGAATAGCTTGGCCAAGGGAAAGAAGAGGAAATAAAATGTAGAGAACAAGGTTGTATAAATGTAAAATTTGCGGACAATGGAAAACGACTGGGAGGAATTTTACGAGTGTTCAGCCTAACACCAAGTTAAAAACAAAGGGGATAAAAGGAAGTTGTGATAAATGTGAGCACTTGTCGTTGTCTTGGAGTTGCAGAGAAAAGTGCGATCCACTAAACAAGACGTTTGGAAGCACTAAATCAGTAAGGTAAAAGAGGAAGAGAAAAAGCCAGAAGTTGTGACGTAATGCCATCAGTGGAAGGAGTCTCAATTGGTGGAAAACAGTTTTGAACAGTCTCAACATCGTGTTGAATTCGCATCTTCAACAAGCATGGGGATGAGAGAGGGACAACTAGTCCATCAGTCCACTTCAAAACCTCAAAATTGCCAATCAAAGAGAGATTGCAATTTGGAGAGGGGAGATGATGCCCTTCTGTAGCGCATGAAATAGTGTTAAATTGGAGTTTACAGTTGCTTAGGCCTGAGGTACCTCAACTCAAGGGCTGTAAATCACCAATTCATCTAGAAAAGAACGACTACCATGCATAATTGACATTTCACAATAGGGGCTATAAAACGGTAAAAAATATTTAAAAAGGTCTTGGCAGCACCATTAATAATGCAAATCTTCAATCCAGCTGGGTAAACAAAAAGGTGGAGAGGAAGACAACTATGATTATGGGTTAAGGACAGCGGGAAAATGATAAAGCAAGTGCTTGGAGGTCACCGACAGCTAAGAATCACTCCACATCTCTGATCAAGCAAAGTTCAATGGAGAGTAAAATGAGGAATCGTAACGCACATGTTGAGACGTTGGAAAGTCGTAGCGTCAATTACAATAATGCGGTTTCTGTAGGCAGCCCAGAGGGTGAGTGCAGACGCCACCACGGCCAGAGCCTTCACAGCGAATTGACCTGCAGGTGCACAGCGAATGACTACCGCCTCAGCAAGGTTCCACGATCCAGCTGCTTCGGAGGCGAACAACTCATCTCTGATGGATAGTGGTTTGTAAGGTTGTTGGGTGGAGGTCACATGACCATCTTCGCAGAACGAGGATGTTGGAGCGGCCAGTTTGGTATCGAGTCGATGAATATGGCGACGGAAAACGACAATGTGTCCGTCAGCAAGGCTGACGAAGACTCGACCAGAGAAGTGACTGAATGAGGAGGAAAAGGTCACTAAGACATTTCTTAGTTGTTATTCGCCCTACCACTGCCCCTTTCCCAGTCCTGGACAAAAAGCCGCATAAAGCCCAACGCTAAACCCAAATCAGATACACAGGGGTTCATGTCATAGACAATAAGGCTGGATCAGTTGAGGTTCAGCAAAGGAAACGACGTGAAGTGAAATATGAAAATGGAGGAAACATGCGTACGAAAATGCGACGAAATCAACGAATGATTGTGAGATATTAGACAATGGATCATTGGTTCATAACCTAAATTTCCCATCCATTTGCATCACTTCGCTCAGTTCTACTTCAGGTGGAGATTTTAGCAATCAAAACATTGAATACCTTTGTTTGTTCAAAAAAGTGCTTAACCATACAAGAATGTTAGACCATTGACCTCAACTCAAAGAAATCATTTCACAAAGGCAACATGTTGAGTGTCTGTCCAAGGAGAGAAGTACATAAGACGAGCCACTGATCCAATACTTTTAATCAACTTGAGTTGCATAAGAGACCTCTCAAAAAAGAGAATACGGGTAGAGTGGGTGAAGCTTACACTGAAGAATCCTGTTACCACCACTTTTTAGCCAAAAAATTTGGTTCGGGTCAATTGAGTTCCGGCTTTGCCATACCTAAAGCATTATGAATGAGACTGACAGTAGACTTGTCAGCTTTGATCTTTCCGGTCCCTCTTATAATAAAATTGTGGCAAATGAAAGCCATCAGAACTGATTTTGCAAGACATAGAGATAAGGGATGCAAAGCATTTACCAAATAGCAACAATACCACTGGGAAGACGGGTGGATAGGAGTGGTCTGCGCTGGGCGGAGTCACAACTGTGCACGAAAATGTCGCCATTCTGGCAACCCAGCCAGACAGTCTGCTGAGCGCTTGCCGCTGCCGATATCATACCAGAGGCTAGAAATTGGAGGCAAAATAAAACAGTAATGTAAAGCTCCGCCTAGGTGCCTGTAAATCAGTACACACTTCAACGTTTGTTCAATCCAATCACCGTCACGCTTGACCATCCGAAAAGAAACTCACAATCGTCTAAAGCGGCGGCAGAGTCAGTAGGATGTATCCTCTTGAAGCGTTGCCTCTCCACACGATAGAAGTCCCAAGGTTTACCCTCCAGATGAATGTCAGGTTCAAACGCGGAGCTGCGCTGGGATGTGGTGGTAGCAGTGGAGTTTACCAATGAAAACTGCTGCTGTTGCTGTTGCCGTCGAAGAGCTTTGAGCAACAAATCACCCTGAACCTCCTTGCCCGCACTTGCCACAAAGTGACGGAGGGAGGAGAGTGTGTTGCTTGTCTGAATGCTACCTGTACGATCCTCATCCTCAGTTAACACATCTACTTCTATCTCCGTCGTGCTCTCCTCAGGTCTCGAGAAAGAGGGTTGATTAAGGTCGGTGAGTGAAGAGTCGAAGTTGTTGCATTCAGCAAAGGGAATGGACTCCCATATGGTGTTGTAAAGGCGCAGTACCTCGTAGTCCAGTTGCTTAGCTCCTCCAATAACGGAAAAAGAAAGATTCCCTTTACAAAACAACAATGTGAGGTGTAATCTCGTAAATCAGCCATGACCCATCGAGGGAGAACACTCACGACGATGGGCTTAGCCGACATCTTATCAGAATGATTGCTTCATCACTACTTAATATGTATGGGGAGGAAGCTACCGTGCAAATTAAGGTCTTAATTTTCTATGAACCAAAGATCTGGATATCTGCAGTCACTCCCCGCCCAAAAAAGAAGACAAAGGGATGCATGATAAATCAGCAGGGTGCATTCAATATAAACTGTTGCGAGAACTAAATACTGCATTCCGTTCCCATTGACAATAGTCGACTCATATCTTGGGACAGTCAAGCTGTTGTTAATTAAGGCGGTAATAGTGTGTGAATACGTGAAGTATTTTAAGGAACGACTGTTTCCGTTCATCGGAGGAGGACATCTCAAACCAGCCAGAACCTGATCACATCTTAAGAGAACGCCCAGCTGTAGGATTGTGAAATGGTCCAAAACACTGCAAAGTGATGGTACATCCGTAAGCCGCAAGCAACCTCGGCCTTTGTAATCGGCATTCACCAAAAAAAGAACAAACTCTGTACATGTTATATGCAACGAGAGAAAAGCAGATTATAAATTAAGATGTCAACGGAAAGCGCAAGAAGGCAACCCTAGTAATAAAGCCTAATGGGACCGCCAAGACAAAGCAACTAAAAGCATTGTAAAAAGGGACAGAAAATCCATTCATAAGGGCGTAGCGTAGTAAAGATAGAAACCGGGTGAGGCTTAATAAAGGCATCTAAGAAATTCATCACCAGTTGGTGTTTTTGGTTTAAAAACGCCGTTAATAGGTGGTATGCCTTGTCCAAGTTTTTTTTTGCCTGAATGGCAGTTGTCACCCAGCTACAAAGCGCACTCGGTAGCTGTTGCATCTCCGCTATTAATATTGTTTTGCTACCCTGAGATATCGCCATAGCCACCTGGATGCAAGTTTAATGTTCAGTGTGCCGTAGCAACTGTGAAGCTGAATAATTACAACCATAGTTTTGAACACGACTCCCACCTAGAAACATCATTCTCAACTTTTGTGTACAAATAATGTCGACTGAAAAGAAATTGATAAAGACTCCCAGATGGTATTAACTGGAAATAAGATGTGTGTTTGTTTCTCAACTAAGGTAAACGTCAAAAGAGAAAGAATGAAAGACCTAAAAGTAGCGTAAGGCCATGGCCATTAAGTTGCCTGATAGAAGCACCCAAAATACATGATGGTTGGAGCCATAATTTACATTCTATGGTCAACATAAAAGCGACAGTTCGAAGATACACAAAAGCGAGACTTCGGCCAGTGAATGTCGAGGGCAACAGTCCATTTGGATTTGTCAAAAAGGTGAAGGAGGCGTCTATATGGAGGGGAATAGCTTAGAAAGAGTGGGGAACAGCCTACTTCCGGAGATAAGAATCTGCAAAGCTCCAGACAATGGGGATCATTTGGAAGGTAACGGGTTTGGGACCCACGACAAATTAGGATAGGGAATGAGCGATTAATGATCAAATGACTTTGATCAGGAGAAATTGGAGATAAAATGGTGGTACATGAAGAAGTGTGCACGACTAAAAATGTAATGACACATCTCCTTCATTCACCCAAACCAACACAACCATAAGCATACGTGTGTGACTATTGGCGACGTATTTCGATGGAACTAAGGGCAGCATTGGACGGAAAAAATTAGTTATAAGTAGAAGTGGTGTTCCCAGAAAAAAAGTAGAAAATCTCTTACCATAGTGACGGCCTTACCTGGTATTGCGGACATACAAGTGACAGCAGAACGCCTCAGAAAAAAGGAGTCCACGTAGCGGGAGGGTGCGTTGGTGTCGAGTACAACTATCTGACTGCAGAATGCTGGTTTTGACGCCACGTTGCTGGAGGTGACCGTCCCAGCGGTACCATTTGCGGATGAAAGGGCAGCGGTATCTGATACACCCACAAGGCACACCCAGAGCTGATCGGAAAGACCCTGCACCAAGATATGTGGGAGAAAGACCATCAAAAGTGCACATACGGCCTGACCGATTGAAATTCAAACAGTTGAAAAAGAATTACATTTTTTTAACTGCTTAACGGTGGTCAAAGAGGTCAGTCCAACAGCATAGATGGCAGTGCAAAAAAAAAATCGCATACGTGGCAAGAGACCTATGTAAGCCTTCAGTAGCAAAAAAAATGTGTCCAGAGCATATCGAATACTCGCAAACAATGTGGACAGGCGTCCTAGCTGCCGTTTGAAATAGCCATTCTGGTTTGTGAGTATTAATGCTTCCGTTGACGTTCTTAAAAAACATTGAAAAAATTATATCATCTTGAGCTCAAAGGAATTACTTTCCATCGATGCCTGACTTCAAGCAATGGAACAACAGCCGGTAGAGTTGTTAGAGAAGAATGAACCAAAGGCCGCAAATGTTGATAATTTAAGTGGGTGCTAAAAGAGGCAGTGTGAAAGCGATGACTGACTCCTTTTTAGGGTCATTGATGCAATCTTAAATGTCCTTTGGAAGGGAGATGAATCATATTGTTGGAAATCTAGAAATATAATTTAATGTCCACATCACTTATCTTTACCAAAGGGAAAATCATAGAGAAATCGCGATTGCATAGCTCACTGGGTTGGAGAAACACGTTCACTCATTCATCTTAAGAGAAGTCCGCATAAGTCAAGGCAGAGCACATGCACCGCAATGTTCGGTAAATCAGTCTTCAGGCCCACCCTGGGCCTTGGGGTGCCTCATAACCATGTCCGATGGCTCGAAGCCAGCTTTGATCTGAGAGTTAGCAATAAAGTGACCCAGAGAATCGGTCTACTGACTGCAGTTGTTTACATGAAATGAATAAGTTATGTGACTGAATTGCTAGGACACCTCACTTCATTAATGGAGTCACACGAATTGCGCCCACACTAAACAAAGCTGCGAATGCTGCAATTGCACACATCCACGTTTGCAATGGCTGTGCCGTCACGCAGGTCACATGAGTAAAGCTGACAGCTATATTAGGTAAATTTCAGGTCCAAATGACTGCCTGGAAAACAATGGGAGGTTTGACCCAAACCAGAGGTTATGCCAACAGAAAGCTACCGTAACAAAATAGGGCGCTGCTTGTGAGGCAACTCACCCTCAGAGGTAATGCAATCAACCGAGATTCCCAGTCAGAAGTATTTATTACCTACGACTAATGGCAGGAAACAGTAAAATTCTGGTTCGTAACCAAAATAGGTGCCAGATAGATGCTTTCTGTCGCCTATGTTGGGGACGTCCGCCCCTCACCACTTTCACAGACCGCTAAGCACTCGACCTGACACTGCGGTACACTGCGCCAAACATTCACAAGGCTCGGAACAGAATATTACTATGACAAGCAAAATGGAACAAAAACTGCACTAAACTGTTCAAAGCAATTCGAGTAAAAAACTGCTCAACGATGCTCCAAATCAGTACCTTTCGCATAGGTAAAAAGCGGTCTAAAAGCGATAAGTGGGCAAAGAGAATGGTGAAAAGCACGGACAGAATAAAAAGTGTGGAACAATCAAATGAAATTAAATACATTGCATGATAGAAGAAACCCAAATCCTACTGGAAATTGGCAAAAAGCGATTGCCTAAAATACATTGAAAGTGCTAATTCACGTTAACCAACTTGCAATATTTTCCCCATTTTAGGACATGTCTGAAGTTAATGCTGAAACTCAGTCCCAGTAAACTTGGAATTAACTAAAGCAATCTCACCACCAACTTGCCCATTTCAAGTTGGTCAAAAAGGAGAAACCCTTACCTCACTATCAGAGTTTTGAGTAGGAACGGTTGCCACGGGAGGAAGGAAGAGGCTTTGCCCGGCCACCACCCCACCTGAGGGCAGCAAGCCTCCAACGCTCGCGAAGAGGCACGTAGCGCAAGTTAACTAACGATAGCGACAAAACAGGTTTTGAGATACTTCAAACCATTATTAAGTTCACGAAACAACATACTACTGATAACAAAGGGCTAATTAGGAGAGGAATGCACACCAGCTAATTACACAAAAAATCAAAGCAGTATTAAATCCCACACAATTTATTTCTAATGCAGGTACACGGACACCATTTTTTTTTAATTGATGGCAGTGGTTGCTTAAAAGTATTGTTTTGTCCGCCACCACATTTGAGTTAGAAAGAGACCCTATGTTCCATTAAGTATTCTCCTTCCAGACCAAAAAACTATCATTAATTAAGAACACAAGCGTCATTTGATTGTAATTTCGGTAAAGTAACTGAGACTGCATCATTCTGCTTTGCTAAATACAGTTAGGATTGTAATATCGACGTTGAATTTCACTCCCAGACGCCGAATCAACAAGTCTAGAGTTATAACGCTTGGGTGAGGACGATTCTAAACGTCGAAGTACTCAACACAAGTTTGAACTGAATTACGTCTCTTTATGGCTCTTATGTTAAAGTTTCGAGTCAATGTGTTTTAAACTGAAAGGCCAAGCAATCAATTAAAACATTCACAACACGACAAGTCATATTGAGGCTCCTCTTTTCCCAAAGTGAGAGCAGTTGCAAGGTCCTATACCAAAATTTGCTAAACAAAACTGCCAAGGAAAAATTTAGCCATTTCCAAAGCGCTCTGCTTAAGCTCTTTGCCATGACGTAGACGCTTTTGTTGTGATCGGGAAAGTATCATCACCAGCGTCTAGGGCTGCACTGCGCGGTTTCATGAAGGTGGAAGACAACGGTGAATTCATGACTGGAAACAAATACCGCTATGCCTCGAAATCTCCTTCAACAAAACAGCTTTTAGTACAAGCCCACTGTATGGCCGTAGCAGAACTTTAAAAAAGTGAAATAATACATACTTGTTATCATGAAAAGCCTTGTAACGAATTCATTTCCCAAATCAGACCCCGGAACATGTTCAGGTGCTTTGTGTATTGGATGGTAGGTCACCAATTTTTTTTTAAATTGTTGCATGGAATGAAGGTCTTAATAAAGGCGGGAAGCACAGGGTAGAAGGCGCCGGCTAATATAAGGATAAATAACAAATTACTTCTTTGTAGTCAACTTCTCCACTTTCCCCACATTACTTAGCTCTTGTAGCTCAATACATAGAAAAACAAGCTGGCAACGCTGGAGACTTAAGTGAGTCCAGCTAGGTCCATAACTGCATAAAATTATGATGGCTGACAGAGACGTTGGTCATCACTGGTGTTAGCTGAAAGGCATGCGTATACCTGCAGTGTGTACGAAACTTGAGTAAGTGGAACGATTCCAACTCCGAGAAAAAGGCAAACTCAGCCGCATTTCAAGAACCTACGACCTATGATTCGTGCCTTGGTGCATGAGCCTAGGCTTATTGATGGAGGGCATTCAATCGTTCCCACACCCTCCCGTGTCGACATAGCTCCCTGAGGGATGCAGGGTGGTCCGAGATGCTACCAGTACCAATCATATTCCTTGTAAAAAAGCAAATGGGGAAATAAAAACGAAGAGAACTGCTTAATGCGACAACACATGATCACATAGTGATGCATAATTCGACAATTGCAGATCAAAAAGGTAAAAAAAAAACCTTCAACCCAGCCGGATTACATTCATTTAACAAACAACTACGTTCCGGAGGTATTTTCGCCGGTCCTATTAAACTGTTATGCCATGTTTCTAATGAATGCTGGGCTTCCCGGTAAAAAAATTTACCAATCAGTTAATGATGGTTGGGGAGAGGCAAAAGGGGGCTCAACGAAGTGATGCTAAAGAATGGAAAAGAATAACTCAAGTAGGTCTACATAGTTCCCATTATCTTAAGCTAGACATTAAATATTGCGTGGGCATGTAATACATAAACGTTAGGACATTACTTGAGAAACAAAAGTAAACAGTAATAAACGCAGGACAGCTTCGACATGTAGCCAAAAGTAGGCTTCTAATGCCTGAAGGACAGAGAAAGGAAAAAAACAGGATTAGCAGGGAAACAGTCACGCAGAAAAGTGCAAACGATTATGGGTGAGAAAAGAGCACAGAGGCGCAAATCTGCCAAACAGTGTGGTATAAAAAACGCATTAAAGAAAAGAGAAACAGGGAAGATTTAAAGGGAGGCAGCCAATTAGAATGAAACGGATTAGTTTGGCAAAATAGATGTAAACAAATTGACAAAAGAGCGCCTTAAAACACTTAAAAAGGTCTGAATGAAGATTGTGAACTAAGGAAGCATAAAAGGGAAGGTTATGGCACTGAATTACCTGCATTTGGCTAGACAGAGCCTCGGAAAAAGGTCGCCGATAGAGAAGCTGGGGTAGAAGTGGAAGGGAAAGAGGACGCAGAGAAGGGGGCAAAGAATTGGACTTGACAGCTGCCGACGCTCGTTGAAGAATGGAGGTGCTCTGCATTACCACGGGCTCCGGTGCGCAGGGCTTTGGAGTGATGGGTAGAGGAATCCACCAGGTCTCACTGCCACTGACTGCCTTGCCAGCACCATGACTAAGGAGTGAAGATAATTCAGTAAGTGAACGAGTACCCGGTGGGTTCTGGGTGTAAAGTGGACGTTTATGCGAAAAGACATCGAATGATAAACATCGAGATTCAAAAAATAGCACAATTCATCACACTTCTACCGGGAGTGGGGCATTCAGGTGCCGCCACTGATTTGGGTATTGATGCTAGCTAGATAAAAAGCACGGAACGCTTTAAGGGACTACAAGTAGTATAATCATCCAATTCGTGTAGCCATTAGGGCCAGATGTATGAAGGAGCTGTGCACCACTCTAGTAGCAGCCATATACAAGTTAACGCAAATTACGACAGTAATGGCTGATAAAAGAAACGAATTTGAGATTGTAAATGAAGACAAAATCCCATGAGCCATAGAGCTTGTAATAGCAGTCGAGTGATTAAAATGCTTTTAGTAAAGTACTTTAAACTTATTCACAATCTGGTGATTGGATTAAAAAAACCTATCTTTGACACCTGGACAGCCCTCCAATTGATTCAAATACTTCAACGCCGGCCCAGTAATGCACACCTCCTTGTGCCATCTCATGATTCATTCTCGAAAACAACGGTAAAGTAATGATAGCCTCATCAACTGAGTTCTCTACGAGATGGTTATTAGCATGACAAAAAGTAGCGTGCACTATTAAAGTAAGCTACCCAGTTCCAGGTGCTGAAAAAATGCAATACATTTAACTGAATGCTCTTGATGGGCCAAAAGCGAGCAGATTGAAACAATCTAGTAGAGGAGTCCATTGACCAATTGGACTGCTCAAAGATGCCTCCTGGAAAAAAGGCAAAGTAATAAACAAAAGAACTCGGCGAGGCAAGTCCAAATGCGTCGAATGTGAAAGAACAACCAAATCCATCGAAACTACACCAAGAATATTGCACAAAAGACCCTAATGACACCCAAAACTTGTGGAAAAGGCATCACAACCAAGGCGTAAAGAAACAAACAATGGTCTCAGGTGTATGAACCTAATAAAAGAGTGAGAAGCTTTAACCCTGGGAAAGACTCTCAACGCATCACATTTACAAAAGAAAACACATGACTACGAAATTCACCACTATGAAAGTGATACGTTTCCACAAAAGATGAAATAGGGTCCTCTATTGCCTGGCTTGCGTTTTCCAGGTATCCGCTACATTTTACTTCCAAGTGTTTGGTGCTGATGCCAAAAGAATACAATGTGTAACGCCCATGCCATGAGGGGGCATGACAACGCATCTTTCTCCCCCAAAGCTTTCCCAAAGAACTTTCCATTGGCAATGCACATCTCTACACCATAAAGGCTGGAAGGTCTTTTGGAGCGCAATTCACTGACAGAATTGATATTTCAACCTTGGAATGATGCGCACTTTTGTTGCCACAAACCACACTTACTCCATACATTGTACACCAAATTTTACTAAAATTTACTGCAACATCAAACCAACTTCAGTCCTTTTCCTATGCATTAAGAGTTAAACACACAAAGGAAGTGATGAGCTGGATAAAGGTCCCTGTATAGGCTAACAGGCGCGTATTAAGGTTTCCTAGTGATGCATGCAAACAACTCTGCGTATTCCAAGTCAACGGATGACAGCATATCGCTATGGCGAAAATTGTATGAATCGTTAAGTCAGGTGATGCACAACTCATTAGATTTTCAGCCCGAACGCTTCGTCTCTACAGTGAAGACATGGAGCTAAGTACTTGCTCCTAGACTTATTGACTTGCATGTTCAAATACAAGGAAAGAAGAAACCAAAATCGCAAACAAGACTGCCAACACACTCATTCCTGTTCGTTGCCAATCCCTCGACTTCAGCATCGAGTAACCGACTCTCGCCGAAGTCCATCGAAATGCCCGACGTTGAGGTGTCGAAAGACACCGTCGGCGTGGATTCTCGACCGTGGCGTTGGAAGAGACGCATAAAGCTAATTAAAAGGAAAAACGGCCGCATTAGATGGGGTTTACACGCTTGCTACGAGTCCATTGAGTTTAGTTAAGAACAAGAACAGAACTTAAGAACAGGAGTGTCTAGTTGTTCAATGGATGGTACATAAGCGATTGAAGTTACCTTGCCGTTGAGTGTCATGGTCTCCAAAGTGATGACCTACAAGCCGTAGTTATGGGAGTAACTCCAGGCCGCCATCATAATTGCGAATGAGGTTTTTATAAGAGTGTCCGTTGATTTGGTGCATAATATTAAGTTGAGTTGTGCCTAAGGCTTAAAGCACGCGAATAACGTTAGTCATATCTGCTAGACAGGTGTTCAAAACACTTAAAATGCTTAAAAGGTGATTCATAAATGATGAAGCCACCTAACCCTCAGTTCTTGTAGTCGGAGCCCTAAATAATAAGACCTTAGCTAAGGTACACCTTAGCCAAAAACAATTACTCATACGATCTATGCTTCGAGGGGAAATAATGCCCACTTTTGGACACAACATTCCCCTTTTTCCTAAATAAATAACGGTTCAATAACCTCGAGTCTTCATTATGCTTCAAACAGTAGTTGAAGCAATGGCTAGTACTTGCGATCAAACCATCCTAATCAAACGATTTCACATCGTAGTGTAGAATCAAAGCACAGAAGAAGCCATTCAATCACAAACTCAACGTCGAATCGAACGTTCCAGGCGATAGAAATGGCCAAAAACAGTGTGTGTATTGGCAAAAAGTTTCCAAAATGCCTCATTGTCCCTCACTTCTCAATCGCCGATGCATTGAAGACACTTCGATTTGTAGGCATGCTTTAAATCATAGTCGCTTTCTTATGAAACCGTGCAGCACTCCTACGGACTCTGCGAAGGGGGTAAAACAACTGAAAAAAGCAAACGAAAGCAGTTCCTAGATGAACACTGACGTGAATATTTAGCATTCCAGGGAGGTAGAAAATAATCTACGCGGAAGCTCTGAGGTGGATAGAGGAGTGGTTACAGCTAAAACGAATACATTGAAAAGAAGTCACAAGTTGGCGGAGACAATGGCCTCACTTTCAGGGGCAAACTTTTAGCGTAGAGGTCATGCTGCAGTAAATAAATAGAAGATTCCCCCTCTGTAAGCGAATCAGGCCTTGAGAACGTACTGGTGAGGTGGAATGTTGAGATCAAAGCAACCACTGGGAAGCTTTCAAAATTTGTAGGAATAGAATAGACCTAGAATTGCAGTTGAGGTAAACCATTTACGACAAATGTACTAAACGTGACGATGGGGAACTGAAACACCTCGAGGCTTACAAGTACCAGAGGCACCATTGTGTTCCAGTAGGTGTCGACACCATGGCTATGCAAAAACTTGCTCATTGGCTACCAAGTGTCGCATAGGAGGCCCAAATGTTCCGTGTTCTCTGAAGCATCCCTAGGCATTTGCCACAATTCAGAGTGCTCTTGGACTGAGACATCCCGCTTCTAGTTTTTGAACGACGAGGAGGCTGGGCAGTCCGGTTAAATACATTACAACTGCGGTTATGCTAAGCCGAAATTTCAAAATGCGCACTCACTAAAGGCAAGTAATGCCACTCGTTTGGTGGGTCAGGGTTGGCAGCCGATCCATTAAAGTAAAAGTATGGCTCTCATTGAAAGGGAACGAAACTATCTCGATATTCTAATGAGAGTGATTTGCCAAAAGTCCTCAATAAGTAACATTAAAGGAATAAACCGGGGTGCTTACAAGATCATGAATCGGTTGCTGCCAGTCGTGGGCACCTGCGTTCCGCCCTTACCACCATTGTTGAGCTCTGAGCTAACAAAGGAGAGCCTTTCGCGAAGATCGCAAACATCCTCCTGTAGCTGACTGCGCTCCATCAGCACTTTGGCCATTTCTTCACGAGTAAAACGTGTCCGCTTGGATAATCGGGTCTCATTCTATGCAGAATGCAAAGAGAAATATGCATTATTAATGGAGTTGACTGCAGGAACTACTGCAATTCAACTGCCGCACCAGTAGTATGAAAAGTTTTCCTGATTTTCTTGCCACCTACCGTCCAACTCCTTCAGACGCAAACAACAAAACCACATCTGAATTTGTGTGCCATGCATCCGTTTCTAGGCCTGAATGAGCATTACGAACCTGCATTTCGAGTACTACCTTTCATCACCATCTGCTTTTGACACTCGCCACTCTGAGCGACATGACGAAATTGGTGGCAAATTAGGACTTTATGCATATTTGGCACACATTCTTCATCACTGGTTCGGAAAGCGGACTCCACCACGTGTTAGTTGATAAGTACAAGTAAAGCGAATTTTGTTTTTGAACATCTCAATCTGCATTTAAGACAGCCGAAAACTCACAGCAACGCAAAGGATGCCAAAGCATAAGGCGAGGTGTGCTTTGAGTTCAAACTTTCCTTATAACACAATGTTCCAATGACAACCAAAAAAATTGAAGGACCTTCAAAAACTCGTTTGCAAAAGAACGTCAGAGGCTGTTGACACGGCTTCTTGTTGTTCAGGTTACAAGTGCGTTTAAAGTGCACCGGCAAATCGAGGGGAAAATGTGGTGAAACCAAATTGACCGCCAAGGTAAATAAGAAATGAGGACTATTCGAGTTCTGGAAAGTGTCTTAATAAAAATGAGATCATAATATTGCTAAATTCCACTTCATTTAAACCCCATTTTAAAACAAAAAAGCTTCCAGAATTATATAGCAATAAAATTTGCCAACCTTACTAGGGAGGCGACTCTACCCAGCTTAGTTGCATTGTTTTCAAATATGTGAATACGCTAACGAGGCAGTAGTTTGTAAATGGCACGAAGTTTAGCAATGAAGAGCACTTGTGACCATTCAATCACCAACCAGGCTAACAAAGCGCGAAAGATAACCTGCAAATGCAAAGTCATATTGGGATGTCCCCATTCCGGTAACCGATTTAAAATGGAACCGCACAAGATTCGCATCAACTTGATTTTGAATTGAGTGATTCTCGTAAATTTTCTGGGTTGACACTAGGATATTGACGACTCTTCTCGTCAGGTGCTGTCCAAGCGAACCTGAAGGAACGTGAAGAGGATATTCAAATATCTAAGTGAGAATTACCATAATATAACCCATTTAGTCACCCATTTAATTAGGTGAAACAGTTAAAGACTGGCCTGCTGCTTGGCGAAAATTGAAGGAAAAATGGAGTACAGATAACCCACCAGCAATCAAAACGAATGAGGTGGATACCGAAGAGGGCGAAACAATTACTCAATAGACTTAAAAATAAACGATCAAATAAACACTAAGCATAGCAAAACCAAGCCAGAGACGAAGGACATGGTAATGACCGGATGTACAAGAAAAGAAGTGATACACAAAGGGCAGCTTCAAATGAAGATGATGATGAATGAAGTCAGCTTTTAAATTCAAGTAAACATTTTGAGTTCTGTCATGATGAAACAATGGCAAAGTTTGCGATATAAACTTAAGATACAATCAAGCAAGGTGATTAGTCGAAATAAGAAAGCACACACGCACCATCAGCACTTGCTTCTGTGCCTCCTGTACCTCAGAGAGTTCCCTTTTCAGTCGAGCATTGTCCTCTTCCAGTTGCTTTATGTGCAAATGCATACTGGAGCGAGATATTTGCATCTGGCTTAGTGTCTCTTTCAACTCAAGTTTCTCACTATCAAGGTAAAAAATTGGCTCATATCGATGACCGAACTGAAGTTCATAAGGCCTCATCTACCTACTTCTTGAGTGAGAGAAGGAGAACGGCGCTTACCTGTTCAAATCTTCCATATTTGTCAGCAGGTCACTAATGACAACCTTGAGAGCGTTACTGTAAAACGGCAAATTGCTCTATGCGGATGGAGGGCAAACGTAGTGACAAGCAGGAAGAATCGGAACTCACTTGGTCTTCTCCAGTTCGTTGAAGTCGTTTACCAATTTGCTCACCTCCTTACTGGCGTCTGATGAAAGGAAAGGAAATAGAATTAACACCCAAAGTCTTAAAAAGAGTAAATTGCACTAATAAAGAGACGTTAAAGTCGACGTTTGAGCAAAGGGCGGATAAACCGAAAATGCTTACTAAATTCTTTGGTATTACTGTCCTTCGGAAGCGACGGTAGAGGAGAGGTGTCTGAAAGATTCGCTGAAATTCATGGGACAAAACGAAGAACAGAATTACTTATTTGTAAAATGACTCACTATCTTCCTCGGAATTAGACGCATCATCGTAATTTTCGTCAGCTGAGAGTCTGGATAAAAAAATAGAGGTTAAGCACTATTAATGCTTTATAATAGATCATAGAACTAACAAACGTCTCAGCCGTATTCCATTTGATATGTGAGGCATTAAATGTGTAAATTGAACAAGATGATAAAGATTAATGCAAAAAACTAACGACGAGCCATTTGAAATCATACAGCAGACGATTAACTTGTAATCTAAGATTTTGACTTGTTAAATATTTGCTAAGCAACATTTCGAAAATCACAATGTCGCGCTGAATCCTGTCCTACTTCAAACTAGGTTAATGGGTTTTCCTACTCTGAGGAAGCGTACCAATTCAGAGATAGCCAATTCAGTAATCCATTAGAATGAAATTAGTCCATACCAAAGGAACTCACTTTGAAAATGGTGAGCCATCAGTATCCAGCGAAATTTCGGGGATGACATCTACAGAGCCATGATGCAAGCGATGCTGAACACCTTTAAGGTATGCAAAAGGTAGGATACCAAGAACCAGGTTTCACGAAGACTGGAGCGGCGATGTAGGAGAATAATTACCCCAATCGTACGGAGAATCACCCTTGTGAGATATCAGCATCAGCGGATTGATGGCACCAACAGCCGCGGTGGTGGAAGAGCATGGCTCGAACTCAGGCGACTGCACCTTTAGCTTAGTTGTTGAAGAGGTCGGAATATCGTCGCCATTTGTGGAGACGCGGAGACGATCCATCAAGTCAACGTGAGCTCGAAAGAGATCACCATATCGCTGCCGAAGATTATCATAAGTCGCTTGAAGCTCCTTGTCTCTTTCTTCAAGTCGTGAAACTACCAAAGATCTCACAGAATGAAGGAACCTAACTGTTATCATTTGCATTTTTCAGCTTCATTTCAAGCAGCTTCTTGGCCGACGCAGATGAGGACTTCAGCCCCTCAATCACCTTGCCTTTGTCCTGAAGTGTGTCCTCGAGATCAAAGACACGCTGAATTGGTGTGTAGAAGGACCAAGTTCTTACATACCTCCTCCAGAATTTTCAGTTCAGTCTTCTCCGATTCATACTTCGTAAGAAGGAGAGCATGATTATGCTTAAGCCTATCCAGTTCGCCAATAATTTTATCTCTCTGTTTATGCACTTCATGCAGAGAGTCCATAGCTCTAGCCACAAGTGTCCCGAGGTTAATAAAGGAATCTCTGCCGAACTTCTCGACAACTTTTTCGAACTCCGCACAGATATCGAACGACAAACTAAGTAAGTTAACATCATTCTCATTGCTAAAGTGGCTGCTGATCAGATCTGCTTCCAAAAATTCATGGTTCTCCGACATTTCTAACAAATAATGTGAAATTTTCTAAAGCTTCAGCCTAATTATACATTACGAGAGGTGGACTAAGAAGCACCAGACGCAAAAAGCCCACCGTCAAAGGTCAAGTGAAGCGGGTGGCGATCAGAACCTTTTAACCGGTCATAACAAATTACTTTTTAAAGGCTACAAGGGGTTTATTCTTATAACATATGCATAAACCAGCGCTTTTATTTCACGTACTTGTAGTATGAGGTTAAATTCTTTTGCTTCAACATTTGGTTTTCTCGGAACTTTTAATGCGCATCAAAGCAAACATAAATATTTATCAAAGAAGTCCCACATTGACTGGATTGGTGGGAAGATTATAATTGTGCTTGGCCCATTGTCCATGAAAGTAACTCTGCATTCAGTGGTGACATCCTTTACGATCGTATCCGAGGTTATGTACTCACAGGAGCCGAGTTCGTGTGAGAAGTTGGGATGCATGTGTAGACATCGTTACGATGGTTAGAATGCTATTACGGTGATCCAAAACCCACATTACATGAGGTCATATGGCCTCTATGAGATCGGGAGCCCGTGCGCCACACATTCCCTGTCCTTTTAAGCCGCACCATCAGTGACCGTTCTTGCTTTCTCGCGATATGCAGCGCAACCCAGTTTATAATTTCGAAACTGCTCGCGCGTTAGATGCTCCATGAATTGAATCTTTCAGTGCATCTACCGAATTTGTTGGAAGAGAATGTCCTTTTCGACACTAAGTTACATCAAGAAATGAAAATGCACAGCCCTCATTCTGCACTGCACCGAACAATGGTACACAGGTAAAGCAAATTATGTACAAAGTTATTCATCGAACGATCGGGACTGAAATAGTTTTGTAAAATTGATATTTCCTACGCATTTATCTTCATCAAGCTGCTAGCATGATCCAAAGGCCACGCTGGAGTACGGAACTACAACCTTTGTGAACTCAGGGGCTACGTGTATCAAAAGAAAAGCAATCACTGTAACAGCTGTGGCTTGTTTGTAGCCAAAGAAGGTAGACCCATCGAAAGTTAAACAGGCAGCTTATTGGAGCACCTTTGGAATTCCTTTACTTTTGAGGTTCCAATGGGCAATCTTTACATGTTACCGCGTAATTCAGTCTATTCGTAAGCTGTAATTTCTTTCAGTGTGACAAATAGCGAATCGTTACTAAGAAAAGACTCTGTTTTTAAATTAGCACCTCCTGTAAGTTACCTCCAACAGCAGAAAAATGTCGTGGCCGGAAGAATCCTCTATGGGCTAACTGTGGTTGCAAATCTTAGACGTTTTATTCACAAACTGGTCCAGCGCTACATCTAGTCATCGAGCCACTCCTATCACTCATTCTCCCAACAATTTCCCCCATAACTCTATCGTTCCATCGTCATCACCCAGACAGCATTCAATAACACCCTCTTGGGACATTGCCAATGGTGCTGCCAGACAAAGTTCGAGGAAGAGAAAGCTATTGACAGAACCAACGCTAGTTAATATTCCAACACGTTCAGTGTGAGCCTGCCTTTCATAAGAGGACAGAGGCAAGGATTCCCTGGCCTTATCCTACGATATAACCGTGAGACAACAATAATCTGCGCTTCCACAACGAGGTACCTGTTGAAAGCGAAAAATCAACGTGGACAGCAAAAAAAAAGTCAGGACTAATGTTCCGAGCGCTAGAAAATCAGCCAGCACATGAGGGCCCCAGACAAACACAACAAAGGGGAGGACACGAAGAGCAAATGTATCACAGAGAGAATTACAGAGATGATAGGAGAAACGCATGGGCCATGATCAATTTTGCGCAGGGATGAGGAGGGCTAATTTGTCACAATGTCTGGCGAATAAACACATAAATGGCTAATATATGAGAGGGGAATACAAGAAATGTGTGAAATACTTCAGAAAACCTAAGGACAGCTGAAGTCCTTTTGACGAGATGCAACGCTGAGAGTAATCAAAATTGCACGCACGAACTGTGGACAGGAGAGAGTGGCAAATGTAAGTGAACGAAGGCCTCTAAGTTCGTTGAACCTCAAACAGACGAACGTTGGTGTCAAACCAAATGGGTGGGTCTGAGTTTCTGTAAAAAGATCCCCAAGGTTAGGATAGCTGTGGCTAGCGAACACACGGAAGGTGTAGATAGGGAAAAAATCAAACAGAGACGACGATGGGGGGATGCACAAAGACATTCAAATGGGAGGATAAGCAAAGGTAAAAGGAGAACTAACACTGACAAAGAGACCGACCTAAGGTAGACCACTCCCCATATGTAAGTACGGAACCAGACAGTGGTCCCTACGTTAGACTGGTACTTTCGAATCAAAATTGGATGTGGCACCGGCAGAAGGCCAACAAGAGTGCCATTCTGTAAGAATTTGAGGATTTCTGGTTCATCTTTCAGGGACCTGTAGAAGCAGAAAATGAAAGCTAAAGTACATCTGCTTTATCGGCACGCATCTCCAGATGGATTTTGATCACAATAAATTTTAACTTTCTCGTTACAAGCTTGAGATATCAAACAGCACACATTAAAGAAACGGGAATTTCTGTTTATGGATAAAGAGGAGACGAACTTTTCAATGCATATTTTCTCCACCTGAGGTACAAGAACTTGCAAGAGCCGCATGATCGTTTGCAGCGGCAGCTTCTCGTGCCAAGTTGACACCCAACGTGCCGTGGGACGCCAAGGAACAGTAGAAGTCGGTCGGCGGCGCGAACTTCCATTACCTCCCTTTGATCCCTCCTTTTCAGTTTTTGACTTCGTCGTTCCTCTTGTAACCTCCTCTTTCCACCCTCTTTCTTGCGGCTTACTCTCATTTTCCTTTGATTCAGTGGTCTCTGCAGTCTACGCAATTTTGGCAAGCAACGAAAAACAAAATTGTAAGATCCTTTCGGTATCCACACCAGTATCACAAAATCATGTGCACGCTTCCTGCACTACCAATTTTCTAAAACTCCTTCATTCTAAAAGTTATCCAAATTTAAGCCAAATAAACAAGTCTGAGTAGACATTGATGATACGCCTTTCAGCTAGACGTAAGTAAGACGTTTGGTGCTATCGGTTTGTTTGGAAAGTTGTTGCCTTTTCGAGTTTGTAAATCTACTTAAAAACAGTAATAATATAGGCAGCAAATGCAGTGAGTATTCAAGCATACATCGATAGCGAAAGTGGCCTCTAGTTGACGACTTCCAGTGGCTTCTGTGGAACTGCTGCCAGTGACAGTGTTAGAAGTAGACATTAGAGTGTAGTTGGTCGAGGAGATCCCCTCTCCCTCATGGGAATGTAGGTGATGATCGCCAGAGAGCACTGTGGTCGCCTCACCCACGGCTGGTCGACTGTCCGTCATACTAGCGAGGCTTGGTGTGCCCACCAGGCTGGTCTGTAGTCCTCCCGACGCGACTTCCTTTGAGGCCTGTAAACATAATGAACCTTAGTTCACCAAGAGACACAAGAAAATGTGCTGACTTATGACTACCACCCGCACACTTTCATTAAAGCTGAGACGTAGTACAATAGCATCACCGTTTTTAGAAACCTCTATTTACCCCCCTCCTCTCCTTCTCATTTTGATTTTTAATCTCTTCTGTCTTTTCGTTGTTCGACGATGCAGATTGAGAGGATTGGTCAACGTCTGCAGAAACGAACTCTGAGCCTTTCTCCTTTGTTTCGTTCTCCAAAACGTCTTCGCTGTTCCCGCCTTCCTCACCTTCCTCCTTTCGATCTTCCACTTCATCTTCTTCATCAGTGTCCGGTGGAGCTTCAAAATGTCGATGCAGACCGCTGTGTTTGATGAGGATTTCTCGAATCTCCTCATCGGTAGTGGGTAAATTGGCCAGCTGATAGAAGACCTGCCGTTTGCGGATAATGGAGTAGACCAAGCAGGAGTTTCCTATAAACGAGGCACACAAATACTATTTACATGCGTATGCCTGACTTGATTAAGATTTTGCCTCACAATGTCCACCTTCCATAGAGTCTATTAATGAAATCCTCCTGATAAAAAGTGCGATCGTTATAGAACATCAATAAGCACCTGGAAGTCCACATCAACCTAAATATATGCAGAACTACCTCGTGATCTTCCTTGATTAGGAAATGATTTTAACGCGCTAAATGCCTCGCAGCAACTGCAGCAGAACGGTGGATGGTTGAACCGCTGAGAGCAGTACCCAAGAGTTGCATTTTAAATACGATAATAAATTTTAAGGATAACAATTGTCCATCCAAAGGCATCAAGGATGAATTTGACACCATAAAAATTCCCATCATTTGACGGCAGAAGCCAGAGAAGTGTGGTAGGACTCACCATCAAATTGATATTGAATAATATTGTTAAAGATTTCCAGAAGGAAAAGCACCAGTTGGTAGTTGTTGGGAGATGAGAAGAGAAACCAAGGTTGACTAAATGCTTCCGTCAGATGCATCAATTTGGAGGCTGAGATCATTGATAGGCTTTTCACATAGGGTGACACTACGAGAATAATAGAAATGCTATCACAAAAACTCTCAGGAGCTCACCAACCGCCTACTTCACAAAGGCAATGACAATCTCCCTGTCTGTTTTCATTACTTGATTGCTGTATCAAATGGACCTAAGATAGACAAACACTTTTCATTGAGTCTTTTCACCACCAACGACATTTTCGCCTCGACAAGCAGTTTGGATTCATTAAAATGCTTTTCCCCTCCCAAAACAACGCACAACCTTTGTTAATAGCTTGTATATGAACTCTACAACACCTACCGCATGGTGATATCGGAATTAGACAAGTAATCGGGAAAAGGACCAGAAAAGACGCTCAAAAGAGAGCACTTGAGGAAATACATTTCGACTTTCAGTCATTTTGCACTCCAGCACTAAGTAGGACCAACTTACCGTTGTCGATAATTGTAATGAGGCAGTCGAAGAGGGGCTGCAGGCATTGATGACCGGTGGTGATGATTTTGTGGAAAACCTGGGCAAAAAAGGAAAGTAGGCAAATATACGAAAGGCCAGCCATCAAAAATTATTCTAGCTCAACCCTTCTGGAGGAGATTGCGACGAATAAATGTAGTCATTTGAAATTTCTCCCCGAATTAGGCAAAAGGTTTCATGCGACTTATTTTGCCTGAGGACGGACGAACCGCTAGGCGGACAGTCAGCAGCCCTCGTCATAGCATAGGTAAGCAAATAGAAAAATTTCAAACCATGGCCAAAGTTGTATACACTCCTCGTAAAACGCTCAACACACTAACAGCATGAAGACCTGCACTTATCAACAGTGCAATCAGTATCCCGATTTTCCATGAGTTTATATTTCAGCCACAGGATGGTGTCACTATGTCAGTTAAACGCACAACCAATGCCAGCTTTACCAATCTCTTCACTTTAATCATTAATAGTAGTTTTTTAATAAGAGTCAATAATTTTCTCGGGAAGAGAGAATTAATAGTCTTCTTTCTCAAAAAAACCCTTAAGATGAAAGCACAGACGT